ACTTATTTCAGGGCTGTGAGTCAGTGTCTGTCCCTCTGATGGAACTGCTCATCTGAGCTGGAGTTGCAGTGTAAGACCAGCTGTAGCTCAGATATCAGAGTTTTGCCCTGCTCTGGTAGTTCAGTGTTAGGTCTTTGCCCCAAATCTCTCTGTTGATGTTGCATTGAGGGTGGAGATGTTGCCCCAGGTGGTTCAGATGGAGAGTCACTAATATGATCAGGGGACTGGAGCTATGGAGACAGGCTGAGGGAGTTGGGGTTGTTCAGCCTGAAGACAAGAAGGCTCCAGAGAAAGCTGAGAGCCCCTTCCAGTGCCTAAAAGGATTGCAAGAGAGCTGGAGAGGGAGTTTGGACAAGGGCATGGAGTAATGCAGCAAGAGGGAATGGCTTCAGACTGGAAAGAGGGCGTGTTTATATTAGATATTAAGAGCAAATTATTCCCTGTGAGGGCTGGGGACACTGGAACATGTTGCCCAAAACCACTCTGGATTTCCTACCACTGGAAGTGTTCAAGGCCAGGTGGGACAGGGCTTGAGCAGCCTGGTGTGGTGTCCCTGCCCATGTCAGGGGCTTGGACCAAGATGTTCTTTAAGGTCCCTTCCAACCCAAACCATTCTGTGATTTTGTGATTCTCAGAAGTTTTTTCTCCTTAGGGATGCCCAGCCTCCTGAGGTGTCGTATTGTTATCCCTGAACTTTGTGTTTGTTCCCACCTGTCCCGTGAGGTTTTTGCTGAGGTTGAATGAATTTTGTTATGGTTTCTGTTTTCTTTACTTCTCTCATGCCAGTGTGATGGCACAGCCATAACACTCATGAGCTCTTCAACAATTTTTCCTGAGAAACCCTCATGGTTGCCTTTTCCTTCTCCAAAATATCTGGAAACCACCATTCCTCTGGTAGTCTCATAGCCATTTATATTAGAGGATGATTGTCAGCCCTGTGATGGAGGAAGCTGCTCTAAAAGCAGCTTTGCTGTGTCTCAGGCAGGGGCAGGTCTGCTGGAACAGACGTGGTGGTGGGGCTGGAACCCTGCTCCAGAGCCTGGTAGCAGCTGGAAATTCAGTTTTCCATTAATCCCTTCAGCTGTTGGAGTCTCTTGATGTGACACAGGGAAGGTTTTGCCTGGTGGATTTCAAGAGTGAGGCGAGGGTGGGTGTACATTTTAATTTTAGTTCTGCATGATGGAAGATGCTTGTGAGTCCATCTTATTAATTTCAAAACTCTTCAGGATTGTGCTTATTTTGCTGTAAGAGTGCAGTGGGTTGGCTGGGGAATAAGCAAGCAAAGCAGGAATCTGGGGAGTGGTAAAACCAACCAGACATGAATTAGTCTGCACAGCCTCTCAGTAACCACCTGCATGTCTTCCTTGACCCTTTTCCTACCCCTAGGAGAAAGGTTTTGACCCTGAAGGATCTTTGCCTCCTCTCTCTTTTGGGTGGGAATTACTGGATTGGAAGGACTCCAGTTGTGCAGTTCAGCCATCTTCCACTGGTCCCATCTGCTCATTCATCCTCCAGGAGAAGCGGGGTGGATGTCATGCCAGCAGGAACTGTCATTAGCTATCTTCATGTCTAGAGCCTGGGCATGGCAGAGGGGAGGGCATGGAGAATTCCCAAAAAGGAGCTGAGTAATGGAAGGTGATGGCTCCAGCTGGAGCCGAGGCATCTCCACAAAAAGGCTGCTCTTTCTCCTTTCCAATTTCTTTGCAGCTGAGCTTTGACAGCATTAAAACTTCAGGTGACTTCCATGTGAAAGCCTTTGGTTGCTCAAAAAAGGGGAGCTGGTTGCAATCCAGGGATGCTGTTTTGGGCTGGGAGGAGGAATGGTGCAGGACCAGGGGTATGGATGCAAGGTGGCTCATCAGCAGGGAGTGAGGAAGCCTGGATTTTTCTCTCCACATCAAAAATATTGGTACAACAGAGGTGTTCAGGGGAGGATTTTTGTTGATTTGGCTTGATACTGTCCTGGTTTCCACCCCAGAGGCTCTTTTAGGTATTTGGAATATTGGGTACCTCACAGTTGTGATAGACTTTGGGGATATTCCTGGAGAACCCAGGAGAACCCAGCAGGGAAATTCCTCCAGACAGCAGCTGATTGTACATTGTACAAGTGAGATGCAATCTGTGCCTCCACCTCACGAGTTGTGTTGTTGCTATTTTTATTTTTTTTTTTAATAAATACTGTGTTCGTGCACTTGGATGACATTTCCCATTCAAAAATGGAGGGGAGGAAGGAATGTGTCACCCACACCCAAGGTGCCAGGCACATAATAACTCAGGAGAATTACTCATAAAGCCACAACCTCATTATCCAGCTATGAAGGATTTCTGACACCAATTTCCTCAGTCTGGCCGCAATCCTGAAATTAATCTCACCTAAACAGTCAGGAGTGTTTCCGCTCTCAGTGCAGGCAGAAATCGTTTTGTCCCATGGTTGAATGCTTCAAACAAATACAAAAATAGGCAAAACCCCCCCAAAAGCCCAAAGTGTAATAATTAATCTGGTGCATTTGGAGTATTAGAAAAGGATGTTCCCATCCCAGTTCCGAGCAGATTATGGAGTGCACAGCATAGGTGGAGCAGACTGGGGAAGACTCAAAGTACCAGCTGAGGTTGGTTGAAGTTGAGGTGGTTTCCCCCTTGTAAACATCTCAGGAGAAAGGATAACTTCCTCTTTGGGGAGCAGATGGGATCTGGAATTCAGTGTCCTTGTGGGCACTGGTAGGATGAGCTGAGTTTTGGATCTTCTGAAGTACCTACTGCTTTATTTCTTTTTCCTGCTGGAATCACCTGGATTTTGGCTACTCTGAGTGATATCCTGAAGGAAACAAGCATAGTGAGCCTGTGATGGTTAAAATCCAGACCTAAATGCACCTCTTGCACGCTCCTCCTCATTTTCTTCCTATTTTTTTTTTTCTGGAGCAGAAAAGAATTGCCTGTGAAGTCACAAATTCCCAGCTCTCAGTCCCTGGTGGTTTTTTTGTTTGTTTTTTTTTGTTTGTTTGGTTGGTTTTTTTTTGTTTTTGTTTTTTTTTTTTGTTTTGTTTTTTTCCTAAAGAAACAGGGTGAAGGAAAGGTGCTCTGGGAAGTCCAGGAGAAAAAACATCCCTATAACCAGGGCAGTGATGGTGTGGCTCAACAAGAAGCTGGAACCAGGCTGTCCTGGGCCAGACAAGGGGACTGCCAGGCTGCACATCACCATGTCATGCCCCCTCTTCCCAAGCAGCAAGTGACAGGACAAGAGGAAACAATCTCAGCTTGCACCAGGGAGGTTTAGATTTGATATAAGGAAAAATTTCCTCACTGAAAGGTTTTTCTAGCATTGGAAGAGGCTACCCAGGGACATGGTTGAGTCACCATTCCTGGAGGTTTTTAAAGATGTGTGGATGTGGCACTTGGGGACATGGGTTAGTGTGGCCTTGGCAGCACTTAGTAGTTGGACTAATGGATCTGAAAGGTCTTTTCTAACCTAAATTATTCTGTAACTCTGGGAAGCTGAGAGCATTTCTTCTGTCAGCTGCTGGCTATGACTGGTGGCTTTAAAAAGTTTGTGTTTTGCCTTTTATCTTGCCAAGGGACATAGAAATGCTGCTGGGCGTGTCCCAGGTGTGGGACACGGAAGGATGAGGTGGATTAGCACTCATCTGCTGATGGACACCACAGCAAACAAGAAGGGAAGGAGTGGGAGGATTGAGCTGAGTTGCCCCGTGGTGATTTCCATAGGTTAAACGGGCAGGTCGTTGGGAATTACATCCTCCAAATGTAACAACTCCATAAGATCAATATTTACAGAACCCCTCACACAATTGGATCCAAATCTTGATTAAACCTCGAGGCTGGTTGTCCCCAGCCTGCTCAGTAACACACACTCACTAGTTGCACAACCTTTTGATGGTTCTCACTCCGAGCAACAAGCTGCTGCTCTGGGAGGGGAAAATCCTCTGTCACAGTGTGTAATTGGCTTGGTGTGTTTGCACAGAGGTCACCAAGGGCTGGGATTGCTGCTCTGCTCCTGTGGGCAGATATAAATCATTGCTGCAATTTTTTCTCTCTGGGGAAATTGCATCCTTTCAAAATTTTTTTTAAATTTCTTTTTTAACAGAGCTCTCTGTAGAGTGCATGCATGTAGGAAGTATATGGCATTTGTATAGGAAGTATTTATAACTGCAAAAGGATTTTTAAAGTGTTCAGCCCACAGTGACCACAGCTGAAAGCAGTGTGTGAAGGGCTTCCTCACTGGTGTTAATTGAGCAAAGCAAGTAGGAGTATTAATTAAAAAAGCCTTTTGTGAGCTCTTGAGAGCTGCCTGGTGCTCGTCTAATGCAGGACCTGCCCCTTGGGGTTCTACCAGTGCTTTTTCCTGGCAGCAAAATCGTCTGCTTTTGTAACCAGGAGGTGTTGTTTCTAGAATAAAAGCTAAAATTGGAAATTCTTGGAAGGTAGGAGTGTGTGTATGTGTTTGAAGGCCAGCAGGAGAGAGAAACAAGCAGCTGCTGAGAAATGCCAAGACCTTGATTCAGCAGGGTTCTCCCTCTTCTCTCAAATCTGACACACCAAAATGCTTAACTGGATTCTGGCCAGAGTGTTCCTCCCACAGCAGGTTTGGGATCTTAAGGAATACTGGACACTTAAACAAAGGATTCTCCTTTTCCATTAAAGGTTTTAATTTGTTATTTATTATTTTTGCAGGTGTTCTGCAAACAATTACAACCCCCTACTTTTCTACTGTTGCTAATCTGGAAATATTGAAACCTTCTAGGGATTTTAAAGATTCATATCAACTTTCTTTGGAAAAGGAGGTGCTGTTCCCCCTGATCAGCAGTGATGTTTTGGGGAATCAGCAGCTGTTTTTGTACCTGTTCCTACAGCCCAGCTCCAAGGCTGCAGGATGTGCCTGGATATCAGAGCTCTTGGTGTGCTGATGGTTGCCATGTCGTTAACCATGACAGTGAAATAGATTTTTTTTCCCCAGTACTTATAAGTTGTCTTGCTTTTTCTTCCAGATTAGAAGAAAGTCTTGTGTGCCCAGGAGAGCAGGACTTGGGAAGCAGCTGGTAAGAGCATCTCTTCAGGAGAGGGTCACCTGAACGTGGAATTATGGGGCTCAGGCAGATGCAAATAAAATTTTTCCCTTGAGAAACTTTTTTTTTTCCCTGTGACTTTCATTTTATAGGAGTTTCACACCCTTTTGGACTGAGTTGCCAAAAGGGAGAGCTGGTTTATGGAAGTTTTTGCTGGTGACCTGGGGAGGGAGTGCTTTATCTTCACCCATATGGAAAGCAACCTTATCCAAGAGTGGTCTCAGAGCTCTGGCCATATTTTCATGTTCTCCCTGTGTTCTCATTGTGCTGATCCTTTGCTGGTTCCATGTCTTTGATCTCTAAAGCAAACCATGCACAGGAATAAAATAAATGTGGACAATGCAGTGCTTTGAAACTTGGGTGCTTAAGGATGCCAGGCAGAATTTGAACCATGGAACAGTCTGGGTTGGAAGCAACTTTTGAAGGTCATCAAATCCAACTCCCCTTCTATGAGCTATGAGATGCCTAATGATGGGAAATCTCCATCTTCATCTGGTTGCTCAGAGCCTCATCCCACCTGACCTTGAATCTTTCCAGGGATGGGGCACCTGCCACCTCTGTGGGCAACATTTTTGTGTCTTACCACAATCTTTTACCTTGCCTGAACTCCTTCCCTCATTCAGTTTGAAACCATTACCTTAAAACCACAGGCTCTCAGGTTTTCTGCTGTTGGGATGACCCAAGAGTCTTTTTTCCAGCCTGGTGGTCGAAGAAAGAGTCAGGATTCTTTGGCTCTGGTTCACAAGGTTGTTTATTATCTATTGTCTAAAATATTTTCTGTCAGACTGCAGAGGTCTGATCTGCAGGTCTGTTAAGGGCACACTGCCCGCCCCTGGGCTGGTGTCTACATTTTATACTATGAGTTACGTACACTTTATTTATCATTATTTTCCAATACCTATTGTCTCTGTTAGACTGTCTACTTCTACTTTAGGCCAGTCTAAATGTGCCACCATCACCAAGAAGATGGAGGCTAGGAAGAAGAAGGAAGAAGCATAGGACAACACTCATGTCCCTCCATCTTGCCTCCTAGACCCTCTATAATAAAATCCCCAAAACTCCATTTTTCACCCAGTGATTAATTCATTATTGCTCTACTTAAATTTCTGTGGCTTGTGATTCTTCATACAAGGTTGGTAATTTGCTCCATGGGTTAAGATCGAAATCCCAAGTGTCTTTGGCTTCCTGCCAGGAGCACGTGTCCTGGGTTCCGACAACAGGCCCTACTAAACAGTCCATCCCCAAATTCCCTGAAATCACTGAGAACTGTATTGTTCTCTAGGTCTTCAGGTTTAACTTCATGTTCCTCATCTTGGAAACTCCTGCCAGGGTGGTAAGGCCTTGTTGGCCTCCTGGGCAGTGTGAAAAGCAAGCAGGGGAGTGCTGGTCCATGTCACACTGGTGAGATGTTCATGTGTCCCTTGTGGTCCCCTCCCAGGGAAATTGCTTCTTGCTCCAGCAGCAGATCCAGCTGTGGCAGATCCATTTGTGGGCAGCACAGCCACAGCCAAGTTCCACTGGCTTTTTACGGGATTATTCTGTCCCTCCCACCTGGTTTACCTCCCCTTGGAGGCATAGGGAGATTTATGGGACTCCTCCTTGGTGACTCTGGAGACTGAAACAGACTCATCCCCCGCAAGGCTCATGTTTGGGGAGAAAGCAGTGCTTTGTGTAATTTTCCTGTCCCCTGTGGCAGCACTGGTGCTGAATCAGTGTGATGGGTGTCCCCTTTGATACAGGTGATGTTTCCCTAAATACCAGTGCTCATTCCCCTGGATCTCCTCGCAGCAGGACTGAGCACAGAGCTTTAGTGGTGTTACTGCTGTCCTGAATAGTCCCCAAGCACCACATCTGGCTGAAGAGAAAGAACACAAATTGTCCTCTCTGGACTGAAAACCAGAGGATTTGGCTTTCAGTACCAGCTAGTCATGCCTTAAAACAAATTTTGCCAAGGGCATCTTTTCTCAGCTTTATGGCTTTCCCTTCCCATCTCTTTACTTTCATGTGCAGTTTCTTCTGTGTGGCAGAAAGGAGCAGGTACATGGGAATGTGACCTCTGGGAGCAACCTGGACCAATGGGTTAGAAAGCTGTAGTCAGCCAGGTGATGGGGCAGATTGTTTCAGCAGTGAGGGGGGAAATAACTGTTGTGGCATCTCTGTGTCTGTGACCAGTCTTGCTCTTGCTGGACCTGGAGTCCCCCGGTGCAGGGCATTGGTGGTGGTGGAGTGAATTGTAAAAACACCAAGTGTGATGAATGTGAAAGTCCCGTGGTGTTTTGGGAGATGCACTGATGGGGTCAGCCAAGCTGGGCTCAGGATCTCTCTCCCCACCTGTCATGGTGGTCCTTGGCTGTATTGACAACATTTTTAGCCCCCGTCAATTTGTTGGCCTGTCCAGTCCTGTCACTGTCCCTGTGTTGTATTTGTGCTCTTGCACAGTTGTTGATTTCCCTCTCCCCACCCCTTTTGTACCAGGGCTTTCCCTGTCTATCTGCTTCATGATGAAAAAAATGGATGGAAACCCTTTGGTAAGAGTCACACACTATAAGTTTGGTGTGGAATGCTCTTGAAAATCTCACTGTTTGTTAGCCACATGTGCTTTGGGAGCAAAGCTATAGAAGGACATCATTGCAGCAGAGAGTCCAAATCTCTCCCTGTTCAGATTTGTTCTTTTTCACCTCCTTATACCCTGGAAGTCCGGGCAGTGGAGTTGTTTTTTAGTTTTTTCATGCTCCCTGCTGAGTGAGCACTGGTGAAGGCACTTTTGCTGGAAGGGCTGCACAGGGCACAAGCACAAGGTGCTCCCTGGCCCCAGCCCTTCATCCACATGACCAAGTGTTTGCCAGAGGCTGCTGAGGTCTGGGGAGGCCACTCCTTGCTAAGTAGACCAGCAGGTTCCCCCTGGGGACTTTGTTCAACTGGCCTGACCTGTGCTTCAGCCATTCAGGTGATGCAAGTAAGAGGTTGGCTGGGGCTAAGCTTGTGCCTGGATTTGTGTCCAGCATCAGCTTCACTGCTCAAACATTTTGTGTGTCACTGAGTGGTTTTCTGTCTTTGGCTGGTCATTGGTGCTTTCAGTTATAGGCACAGTAATTGGACAAGTTGTGTTTTTATCAGTCATAAATGTACATCTGTGTGCACACACCTATCCATAAAATAAGCCTTTAAAACAAATGGGAGATGTAACATCCATGTGTTGATGTCCTCATCGTGCCCAGGTCCTTGCTAGATCTCATGGCATTTTCTCCTTGTTCCCATCCTTCTGATCTTTTCAGGTGTCAGTGGTGAACCTTAAAATGTTGCTTTTCATGAACTGTTCCATCACATGCTGATTTTGTCTTTAGGGGTGTGAAGGACCTGGGTGCTTTTTTTGTCCAAGGGCACATACAAGGACTCAAAGCTGGTGCTGGGACAAAAGGAAATGGCCTGAAGTAGTGCCAGGGGAGGTTTAGATTTGATATTAGGAATAATTTATTCACCAAAAGAGTTGTCAAGCATTGGAACACGCTGCCCAAGGAAGGGGGATTTAACATGTGTGCGGATGTGGCACTTGGGGACATGGCATAGTGGTGGCCTGTGCAGTCAATGCTTGGTTAATGGTGGAACTTGACGACGTTAAAGGTCTTTTCCAAACTAAACAATTCCATGATCCTTTGTGGAGTCCTGGTGGACTTGGCTTGCCACTGCTCCCCTTGCAGCGAGTTGCTCACCACACAGGTTGTGACACTGCTCTGTGGGATGCCACCAAGTGTGTGTGGAAAGGAAAAAGAGCCATTATGCAACACCCTCGTGTGGTTCTCCCAGCTGCCAGCATGTGATGTGAGCACTGTGGAGACCCAAAATCCCTTCTCCCTGGGTGGTGGGTTATTCTGATAGCTACCCATGCCGGCCTTCATCGGGATGTCCTGGCATTCAGTGCACCCCCCTCAGAGCAATGGGCAGTGTCATCAGGCTGCTGGCACATTTTGTGTTTTCTCAAACCACTTTCTTGGCCAGCATTCCAGTGCTGGGGTGGTTTCTGGCCGGAATTCCTCCATGTGGTGGTCCCTGCTCAGTGAGCAGAGCTGGCTTCGCCTCCACAAAGCCTGCAGCTCCCGTCGTGCTGCTTTTCCCCTGCATCTCAATCCTTGCATTCCTGCAAGGGAACAAGATAATCTCTGTGCTGTTTTTGTAGCAAACTCTCCTCAAAGTGACAGCCGTGGGCAAGGCTGTGTGGATGTGGTGTGCTGGGATTGCTGATTCCCTGGGCCGCCATCCTAATCTCCTTAGCACTGAGAGCTGCTGCTCTGAGCTCCCTCGGTCGTCTTCCTTGAGAAATGATGCCTCCAAGTAACCAGGGATCTGCACAAATTCCCTGGCTTTCCCTGAAGAAGTAGGAAGGTGTTCTCCCACTTGAGCAGCGTGCTTTGTTTTTGGCAGAGCCGAGCACGCAAATAGAGGGAAGGTTTCCATTGTTGGATGCCAGCGCTGCTGTCGGGCTGTGGGAGGTGTCTGCCGTGCACCACATAGGAAGAGGGTTTCTTGTGATTTGGGAGTGCTCCTCAGATGGGGAAAACCTGGGTGATAAGGAAGGATTTCTAATCAGAAGGCTGGAGCACCTCTCCTAGGAAGACAGGGTGGAAGAGTTGGGGCTGTTCTGCCTGGAGAAGAGAAGGCTCCAGGGAGACCTCAGAGCCCCTTCCAGTGCCTAAAGGGGCTCCAGGAGAGCTGGAGAGGGACTTTGGACATGGGATGGAGGGGCAGGACAAGGGGAATGGCTTAAACTGACAGAATAGAGATCTAGATTAGAGATTAGGAAGAAATTCTTCGCTGTGAGGGTGGTGAGAACTTGGCACAAGTTGCCTAGAGAAGCTGTGGCTGCTCCATCCCTTAAAGTGTCCAAGACCAGGCTGGATGGGGATTGCAGCAACCTGGATAGTGGAAGGTGTCCCTGCCCATGGCAGGGGGTGGAACTGGTGATCTTTAAGGTCCCT